AGAAAAGTGTTAATTCAGGTAAATCACCTTATCTTAATTTGTAAAATTTCCATTTAAGGAGATTATTGAACTTGTGTTTCTCGAATAAAATGTAAGGTACTGATCCCAACACTTTTCATATTGTTCTCCCAAAACTTATACACATAAAGTCTATATTCTAGCAAAATTTGGATAAGTTCTTTCCCCATATTTTATCTTCACCTATTATCTTCTCTGCATTTAAATGCTCTATTCACATTCTTTCCATTTTTCAAGTCCCAAATTCAAGTGCCAGCTGTTTTTCAAAGTACACTTTAGCCAGAGGGTTTGTTCAGTGGCTGAAGCGCTTGCCTAGTAATGTGAGGTAATGAGTTTGATCCCTGGTACCAAACAAATAAGATAATGTGTACTTAGGCCTCAGTATTGTAGCTTATCTCTCCTGCAGCTCAGTATTCCACATATTCATGCTGTTTGTCACGCATCCCTTGTTGCATGCTATTATGTTAGAAAGATTTTTCCCCTACTTTATTTTACACTTATTGTACAGAAGCAAATCATCCTTTTTCATGGAACAAAGCCTATCATGATGTCAAAAATCAGAATAAACTAACTCAAATATAATTCAAATACTGACTTCGATTTACCAAATACACTAATTAGATACCATCCATGGAAAGCCTAGGATCTGGGCTTCACTGACCAATTGTTTCTTACCTAACTTTAACTACAAGGTTTTCTTAGGGTTCGGTTAGCCACATATTTTTAGCAATTCTCAAATTTTGGGTCCTAGAGAAAGGTCCTTCTCTCAAAGAGTCTCAGAAAAGGTGGTCTAATAGGCCAGGGAGAACAGCTGTTCACATCCTGGAGTCCCTTTCTGCAGTCCTAATGGTGACTTTGCTGGGCAGATGCTGAGGATCCACTCGGTACCGATGGTTACCTTAGTGTCTGCTTCTCAGCACGGCAAAACACAGATCCTCTGACCTCATGACCTCATGACTCACTTTTCAAAGGAAATTCCTGTGCGGGTCTGCGGAGCTGTATCTTTTCCAAAGCAGCCTGACACCCCTAGGAGGGGTTAGGGAAGGAATGGGGACCAATCAGGAAGAGCCTTGCAGCCACCCGCAGGTCCTCCCTCCTCCACACCTCTAGGCACTGCTGCTCTGCCAAGCCCGCTTTGTGAGACTCCTCTTTCATTTGCAGTATCGTCATCAACTTCCCCTTACGGAAATCCTACTCTGTCAGATGGGTGTATGTTTTTATGATCTCCAGCGCAGGAACTGAAGCAGGTGAATACCTGTGGGATTGATTCTTGGCCTCATGCAGTAGTGGCATAAGGGTCTTTAAACTTCCTAAACTCCCAATCGTCCCACCTTGAGACCACAATCTTAAATGAAATAAATCGGACCCACAAGTTTGAATAGCACATTGTGTCTGTGGTGTGAGAAACACAAAGGGTAAAGAAAGAAAGGAATGAAGGGTAGATACTGGAAAGCAGGAAGGACATGTTCAAATCGGAAGGGGAACCAGGCAGGGGAAGAGGTAGAAAGGAAAAGGAAAACTGAAACGGAAGGGAAAAGTGGAAGCAAAGCTTTTGCAAATGGAGAGAAGAAAAAGGGTTAAAAGAAGGGGAGAGAAACGAAAAAAAGACAAGCTATGTTGTGTGTAAATTCTTTACTATGAATGTAATCAGTGTATATCACAAATATGTACTAACTTTAAAAATAAATTAAAAATTAAAAATTGAAAGCCAGGTCTGGTGGCATATGCTTAGAATCCCAGCACTCGGGAGGCTGAGGCAGAAGGATCATTGCAAACTCAAGATCAACATGGGCTACAAAGTGATCGCAAGACCAGCCTGACTGCATAGCGAGATCTCGTCTCAAAAAGACAAACAAAAAACAAGCAAAAAATCCCCAAAACGTTGACAATTATTAAGAGGAAAATGCGGGGCTGGGGATTTAGCTCAGCGGCATAAGCACCTGCCTTGCAAGCAGGCGGTTGTGAGTTTGACCCCCGGTACCGGTAACAATGAAAAAGACAAAAAAAAAAAAAAAAAAAAAAAAAGAGGAAAATAACTCCCTCAACTTGTAGCAGCTTGCCTTTCCAGTCAAATAAAACTACCATCTGAATAAAAATAATGTAACTGCAGAAGAAATTTCACATATTCTTCTTTTCAGCCTCACACCGGTAAATCTGGCGTGAAAATTCTGGAGTCATAACTGAAATCAAAGGAAGTGGCCATTCTTTAAAAACGGAAAAGCTGACACTTAGGATTTTGCGCAAGAGAATCTCTAGGGGGCGCTGTTCTTTAACAGACCCTTAGCTTTGCCGTCACCTTGTCCACGTGGTTTACATTTTTCAAGGTCTCTCCGTGCCCTCTTCAAAGTTATTTGGGCGGTGTAATGAGAGCAACTGTCCCATCTGCCAATATGGGCTAAATGATAAATTACTTCTCATCTTTTGATAATTTATGTGTCAAGTGATCTCCGGGTGAGCCAGTCTTACCTGTGATAATGAGAAATGTAATCCAGTTTACTAAATGCACATAGGTCCTAGGTCCGCTTTTTTTTTTTTTTTTTTTTTTCTGTCTTTTTGACACAGGGTCTTCCTATGCAGTGCAGGCTCACTTTGTGGCACAGGCTGTTCTCGAATTTGCAAACGATTCTCCTCCCTCAGCCTCCCAAATGCTGGGATTACACGAATGTATCACCTACCATCTGGCTTGCTTTTCTTTCTTTCTTTCTGTCTTTCTTTCTTTCTTTCTTTCTTTCTTTCTTTCTTTCTTTTTCTTTCTTTCTTTCTTTCTTTCTTTCTCCTTTCTTTCTTTCCTTCTTTTTCTTTCTTTTTCTTTCTTCTCTCTGGTTTAAAAACTATTGCTTGAATCGACATCAGCATTTGGATAACTCTACTAATACTTATTTTCTTTATTTTGGTATTGGGGGATCAAACCCATGGCTTAGTGCAGGCTAAGGAAGCACACTATCACTGAGTTATGCTCCAACCCAACATTTACTTTGCTGTGTTGTAATTATTTGTCTGCCTAAGCATAAAAAAGACAGAGACTATGCCTTGTTTTTTCACCATTTCAAATGCAGAGTTTAGGGTCTGTCACAGAGTGGTCACTCAATAAATGTTTGCTGAACAAATTATGCTTTTCCTGTTTTAGTGAATCTGGTTGATTGGTACTTTGTGTGCCTCTGTATACACTCACGAGCAAGACAAAATGAAAATCCATTTCTATATCTAGGTTTAGAAGAAACAAAGACATGCATAGCATTAAATGGCTTGTACTTGCAAACGTTTTCCTCTTCGAACTGCTGCAAACTTTCATGACAGCTAAATTAAAAGTGGCAGTGAGCAGAACTTGTATATCTCATGTGTGACTATATTTCAACCACATCTGTTGAGTAAAACGCATGGTTTAGAAATTATTGAGAGCTGTGCATGGTGGCACAGGCCTGTAATCCTAGCACTCAGGAAGCTGAGGCAGGAGTTTGAGGCCAGCCTGGGCTACCTAAGTAAGTTCAAGGCTAGCCTGCACTACATAGTAAGACCCTACCTCAAAAAAAGAAAGAAATTATTGAAAACTTTTTTTGTAAACAAATTTACATAAATATACAGCTAAAATATAGTTGGAGATTGAAAGAGTTTTCTGCGTGGTTAGAAGACAGAATATAAAGTAAAGTGGCCCTTATTTTAAGAACGCAGAGAGAGACTCCATGACTTCCGGGGTCTGGCCTTCTCTCTGCCTGACACGTGGAGTGGGGACATACATGTAGCTTAGGTTTGGGGTGGAGCCTAAGGGGCGTTACTGATGCACAGGTAGCCCATGGAATTCATTTTGCGCCACAGGTAAATTGCTTAAGGGCGGGGAAGCTGACCTTTCGCCTCCCAGCCTCCCGCCGCTGCAGTGTACCCTCCAGTGCAAAATCCTTTCAGAGATTATATGTGCATTCTAGTTTTCTTTTTTTAATAATTGTTTGTTGTACATCTTAGGCACACATAATGATCATATTTGTCATAGAGAATTTGTACCTGTACATGATGTAACTAGATTCTTTGTTTTTACCCATTTTTCTGCGTTCCTTTCAACCCCTCTTCCCCTCCTTATCTACACGATCTTTGTTTCCACTTTTATCCTTTTCTTCTCATCATTTTTTCTTTCCCTTCCTTCCGTTACCCCTTTACCCTCCCTGGCTCCCCCTCTCGTTTGAACATTTTCTTCTGTTTCACACTGTGTGTTATACATTTTGGTCCTTATTTACACTGGGGCGGGGAACAATTTTGTTGGACTAAAGCTTTCTTTTTATCCATCTGTATCTCAGGCCATGATGCACTTCTACAGGGAGCAGTGTTAGGCTATTCAGGTTACATAAAGCATGAGGAAAAGTGGAGAGGCTTTCTTTTTAGAAAAGAAGAGCTCCAGTCAGTTTCCTGTGGGTCCTCCTTGGGGCTCTGAGACTAGGATGAAAACATCTGTTCTCGATCCAGGAACTGATGATGACCGGAGGTCATCCCAGAGCTTCCGCTGTTAGTTTTGACAAGAATCTTGTCTGGCTTGGTCTAAAACACCATCTCCCATGGATTTGATCTAAGATTTTGTGCTACACAGCCTGGAAACATTCTGTTTTCTTCCACCCCAAATGCACTGAGCATGGAGTTCCTCCTGCATAGAACGGTCCACTCCCTTTTTCATTCAGATGAACTGTGATACCTTTAACATGCAGCCCAAATTTCACATCCTCTGATGCCTATCCTGTCTTCCCTTAATGGATGTAACTTCTTTATTTTATGTATTTTTATGGGACTTTGTTCTGGTTTCCAAAGCACTGTTTCCTTTTGAGAAAATTTAGAGGTTTTTCCTGTATGACGGTGCACCCCTGTAATCCCAGCACTGGGGAGGGGAGCGGGGTGGCACAGAGGCAGGAGGATGGAAACCAGCCTGGGCATCGTAGTGAGTTCAAAGTCCAATTTGAACTACACAGCAAGATTTAACATTTCTTTTTTTCCCCTCCTTTTAGCCATACTTCCCATCGCTTCCAGCTGTTGCACTGAGGTTTCACATCGTATTTCCAGAAGGCTTCTAGAAAGAGTGACTGTGTGTCGCATCCAAAGGGCCGATGGGGACTGTGACTTGGCTGCTGTCATGTGAGTGCTCTTAGGCCGTAACTGATGTCTAAACTGCATACTGATTATTTCTCGGACCCACAAAAAATAGGTAGAAAGATTGTGCCCGGTGTGTATCATACATACAGTCAAACAAAGGAAGAATACATATTTTGTCCTTTGAACCACAGAGCTGCAAGTTCTAGGCAATAAATGCACGATTTCTGTATACAGGAATGTCCTGAGCCCTCAAGGGATCCCGCATCCTGCCCCTGGAATGCTGCATTAGGGCTCAGTGCCCTCAGGAACCAGATAACATTTACAACTTTCCTAGGCAAAACAAAGAACTACTGAATGAAACAGCAAAATGGCACATGCTACATATAATGTCATTAACTACAACTTTTTCCAGGCAAGAATGTGTGTTGCTGTTATTTTTCCTGTTTAACTTCATGAGGAGCCTATTTTAAGTTTTGAAAAGTGGCCACAAGTATTTGTCACAAGTGCTACAATTAATCCAATTCCAAATGTCCTTCTTGCTTTTGATTCTGGCGTGTTGACTCCTGATGAGCCCTCTGGCACCTTCCAGCCCACCCCTGGCTCAGGGATGCAAGACCAACCTCAACAGTGCTAATAGAAAGCCATGAGTCATTCCCTGTGAAATGTTATGGAAACATGTAAGGTCATAGTTCACCTGGTATTACACAGCTAGTGAATGCAGAAAGCAGATGTGCGCTCAGGTCTCTTGGTTCAGAACACTGTATATCACCAGTCTTTTAACAGGGATGGTGGAGCCAGCCATAATATGTTGTCTCAAAACTCCACTGCATTTAGAATGTGAGGCATCACCCTGTCCTGTGGGTTTAACACCACTTACGTTTTGAGGCACTATTAATGAATCATTTGGTGGCCCTTTCTTTGGATTACAAACATTCTCGTTGCTTATTCTTAAGCTCCTGAAACACTTTTGGGCCCCCTTATTCCATCAATAAATCCAACAGATGTTTATTAATCATCAGTAATTTCCCAGGCACCATGTCATGTGGTGGGGATGCAGCAGCAACTCAATGAGCTCTGTCTTCTTCTTCTTCTTTTTTTTTTTTTTTTGTCTTTTTCGTTTTTATCGGTACCAGGGATCGAACTCACGACCGCCTGCTTGCAAGGCAGGTGCTTATGCCGCTGAGCTAAATCCCCAGCCCCGAGCTCTGTCTTCTTGAAGTCTTCAGGAGACTTCTTAACCAGCTGGATTCTGACAACCATTTCTGATGATTTGAATAATCTCTAGATTTTGAGATGTATTTTTTTCCCCTTTCAGAAGAAGCTGTCTTCTCAATTTTGAGAAGTGCTACTCCAAGAAAACAATTCTTGGAAGTTCAGAGGAAGAGTTTGTGAGCTATCCATTGATAAGACTTTCTTCAGGCCAAGAGGCTGTGAACTCCGTAAAACTTTTGTGTATGAACCTGTGAGTGTGTTTCTAGGAATTAGATCCATGTGTCTTGTAAAATTCTCAAATCTAATGAACATTTAAAAATAACCTTGGGATCAGATGCTAGGGAGGATACAAATGTTGTTTCAAACTTTTAATAATCATGAATGGCTACATGAAGAAGGGAGAAGCCTGAGAGCTCTCTCAGTATTCCCTGAGCTCAACCCCAACCTTGGATCCTTTGGCTTAGATTGTTTAGTAGTCCCTGGGAATAACACGTACTGAGGTGCCTTCAGAGTTCCCCACTCACTTGAATAGTTTCCTTAGTATATTCTTGGGTGAGATTCTACCAGATTTTAAGCTTAATATGTACTGTTGGTAATGATTGGAAGGTGAAAACTTCACAGTTCAAAAACAGTGATCCAAGTAGTTGGAATTACTGGGTATTTGTATTTCCACACAATGTGGGGCTGTTCTGGTAGCTGTCAGAAACACCAGATTCTTAACACTGTCCACACCTTCCCCCTCACTGGCATATGTCATCTTTGACCAAAGGAGGCATGAGAGTTTTTACAAGGGACCCCCAGAGAGGCTTAGAAAAGCCAGGGGAACTTCTTGTGGGTATGTAAGATACAGACAGGGGCCACATGGATCACCATTCACAATAGGACTTTTAGAGATGTTATTTTGGGAATGGGTAAGTGTCAGAGAACGGAAAGGTGCAAGAACCAAAAAGGATATTATTTTCATTTTGACAAAGAATAATATATTGAAAAAATATGAGTCTTCATTTTTAAAAAATTCAATTTTAACTAAAGGGAAACTATGAAGCCAATTACCAGGATCTAAAACTATTGTATTCAAGAACTAGTTCATAATTTGACCTCTTTGTGCTGATAAGAAAGGTAAAAAATACAAAGCAATTGTGACTTGGTCTCAAATAAAATTAAACTTGACTCTTGTGCTTTTAATCACGAATTACAGAGCTTCTGTTATAATTTCTAATGTTCAACATAAAGCTTATCTTGTTTTCAAATTCTTTTGCTGCAGAGTATCTCTTAATCCAAAATGTAGTCCCTTAACCTTAATTGTGTACAGAGACTTTGTAGTTTGAGACAAGTGTTTAAGTGTAGAAAACATTCATTTTGGAACAGTAAGTAATGTAAATCAGCTTACAAGAAACTTACTAGATTGATATCCTTTCTGCCTGGAAGCAGATTCTTTGTTTCTATGACTCTACTCTTTGTTTCAATGACTCTACTGATTATTGTAATAGCAATTTCTCTGTTTAAACCCTTCTACTCTGAAAGCTACCAGGGAGTTGAGGTTTTTGGAGTTATGTAGATGGTTTCTGTTAGGAAGAAACTTCGAGGTTATTATATAAAGTTATCTGAGAGGCTTGGGTAGTTTTTCAGAAGTGGTTATGAAAAGTTGTTTTTAGAGAAAGGAGTAAAGAAACAAAGTTTAGAGAATGATGCTGGGTAGAATTTCCGTGGCTGCAGTCGACTTTCTAGCTCCTCTATTGGCTCAGGGCATGAGCCAATAGTTTCTCAGACTCTTCCCCCTGGAAACTTACAGTGGGATGGGTAGGTGCCTGCCTGGAAGCTACATGGTTGAGTTAGGGTAGGGAGTATGGAACAGGCATCTCCTTTCCCAGTATTACTTACTCTCTTATTACCCTGATGAAATATGCGTGGGATACAGTTTCAAGCAGCTTTTTGTACTTTAGGATTCTAAAACATCCTAGTATCCCAGATTTGGGCTTTGTGTTCTGGTAGCTGTTCCCCCACCTCCCAACTCCTTCTCTCCATCTCCCATCTTTTCTGTATCTACCACCAAATCTGCTCCTTCCACACCAGCACCAATACTTCTGCCTGAAGCCATCGTGTGTGTGTGTGTGTGTGTGTGTGTGTGTGTGTGTGTGTGTTATGGGTTACTGGGGATTAAACCTAGGACCTTCGTATTGAGTTTTATTCCTAGCATTTAAAAAGATTTTTTTTTTTAAATTTTGAGACAGGCTCCAACTAAGATTACTTACTTAACTACTCAGGTTGGGCTTGAATTTGTGATTCCCCTGCCTTGACCTCTTACAGTGTTAGGATTTCAGGCTTATGCCAGTATGGCTGGACCCCTCTTCTATTTTTTAACTGTAGAGTTGGATGCTAGTTCTCTCCTGGGTTCTCTCCATATCAGTAAAGTCATTACTCAGATTCTTTCTGATACTACAGACAGAGGAGAGAATTTTAGTTCTTTGGATAGTTAAGAAACTTCAACTTATTCTATTTTGTTATTATTACTATTGGTGGTTGTGGGTTTTTTTTTTTTTTTTTTGGTACTAGGGATCGAACTCACAACCTCACGCTTGCCAGGCATGTGCTTATACCACTGAGCTAAATCCCCAGCCCCTACTATTGTTGTTTTGAGACAGGTCTCACTATGTAATCAGGCTGGCCTTGAACTCACTGTATAGCCTAGGCTGGCCCGGAACTCACAGTGATCTTGCATCAGCCTCCTGAGTGCTTGGAGTATAGGTGTGAGATACCACACCTGGCTTCAACCACATTTCTGCTTTTTCCTCTGCAACAATATTATGTTCAGGCTTTTCTCCTATAAGAGCAACCCAACTGGTCATGGTGGAAATCAGCTTTTCTTTTGAAGCTATTTCAATCTAATACACTTAAACAATGTGCCCTCTTCTTACGATGCCCCTCTCCCATTTCTTTCAAAGTAATATTCCCCCACAGGCTGGTTTTCTTATGGTAAAGCTCATTATACATTTTCCACTTTGCCTCTATCTTGAGTTCTCACATTGTCTGATAGCAAATCAACATGGGACATTCTGGAGAAACAGCAGTCTACTCTTTAAAAAAAGTAACTTTCTCTTTAAATCCAAAAGATTTCCCCTTGATCCAAAGATTTCAATTTTACTGAGTCACAGGAATATTATATAGCTAGAGCCAGCATGATTTGAAACATTTCATATCTTCATTTAATTACTGAATTCCAACTGTGGACTTCGATCTTTTCAAAAATATGCCTAGATTATTCCTTTCTCAAGGACCATAACTTGAGCAGGAGAGCTAAGGATTCAAATCAAAGACATAGTAAGCTAAGGGCTAGAGGTGAGGTAACCCACAAAAGGATAAAACAAGACAGTTAGCTGAGAGGCTCCAGCTTTAAAACTTTACAGAGAGGAATGTGTTTGAGACGGTGGAGAGGATGAATTGGTTTTGCTGGACAAAGCTTATTTTCCCTTGGTTTTTGTTGCTGTTTCTCTTTTATTTCATTCCCCCTTCTCTGCTTCCTCTTCTTCATCTTCTTTTGCTTTCTTTCTTTCTGCTTGTCCTCCGCCTCCTCCGCCCTCAATTCCTTCTTCCCATCCTCTCTGCTGATCTCTGAGGACTGCATGAGCAGTGTGCGTAAGTCAGGATTTAACCCTGTGTTGCCTAGCTTTAGGATTCAGTCCCTAAGAATACAGCATGGCGGAGGGGCTGCCTGTTATTCATTTTTTTATATGTTTGTATTTGCTGTTAGTGATGATTGTTTTTTTTTCTTTCCTCGGCAGCCTCCATGTCAAACGCAGAAGAATCTGTATCAGCCCACACAATCATACTGTTAATCAGTGGATGAAAGCACAAGCAGCCAAGAAAAATAGCAAAGGCAACATTTGCCATAAGAAACACCACAGCAAGAAGAAAAAGGGATCAAATCGGGAGAAAATATGAAACATACGGCCATAAAACTCCTCAGTAGAGTTTACTAATGAATTTACAAAGACTCCTTAAGTGAACTTGGCCATGGATGGTTATAAATTTTCCTTATTAGCAGTCCACAGGGCAAAACAAAATACTGGTTTTTTAAAAAATTCACAGTTGTGGGAAGTAATCTTAAATTCCAAGGTAAGGATCGCCTGCAGCAACCTGGTAATGGAATTTGCTGTCCTGCTGCCTTCATGGCTCGGGAGGATTTTGGCCAGGAGATCCTGAAACATGAAGCCAAACCAGATTTTTGACTTTTGTTATCTCTCCCTTTAACCTCTGTTCTTTTTTCTTAGTATCATACTCAAAGAAAGGAAGAATGGATGGCACTAGAGGAGAGTTCACCAGTCTGAGTGGGGATTACTGTAAAAAACTGTGAACGTGCCAGGCATGGTGGCACACGCTTGTAAATCCTAGCACTCAGGAACCTCAAGGCAGGTGGATCACAAATTCAAGCCCAGCCTGGATTACATAATGAGTTTAAGGCCAGCCTGTCTCAAAAAACAACAAAAGAAAAATCCAAAACAGCAACAAAAATTTAACATGTTTACAAATGCCTGTTGAATCATAAACAGTTGAATTCTAGCCAAGGCATGTCAGGTTTATCTAGACCTTGAAAATTGCTCAAAATTAAAGAGCTAAAATGAAATACTTTGAATAAACTGAAAAACAACAAAACAACACAGAACTAAATAAGTGGAAAGGTAGCCTAGAATATACTTAACTAAAAATGAAAGGAAAATTTAATACCTTCACATGTTTTTAGGAGAGAATAGGTAGAATTTCTTCAAGTTGTTTTTACTTAGGTTTTCTAATCCTACAGAGAAATTGAAAAATGTTAGAGGATTTATGCATCTTATACCTAGATTGACCATCATTAAGAACTCATCCTTTTCTCTTGCTATTTTCTCTGTGTGTATATAAAACATTATGGTATATCAGTAACTTTTGCTAAACCATTGAAAAAAGTTGCAAACATCATGACATCTCTCTTAGCCCATTTTCTATTACTGTAACAAAATCTGAGACAGATGACTTATAAAGAATGTTTATTTGGCTCACAGTTCTGGAGGCCAGGAATTGCAGTAGTTTGCATCAGGCAAGGGTCTTCTTGCTACATCATAATATAATGGAGGGCACCACGTGGTGAGACCGAGCAAGTGTGCTAGCTCCAGTCTCCTCCTCTTCTTACCAAGGCACTAAATGGCAGCCAGGTGAGACATGCCTATAATCCCAGAACTCGGGAGGCGGACGCAGGTAGATCATTGCAAGTTCAGGACCAGCCTAGGATACAAAGTGAGTTCAAGGGCAGCTGAACTGCATGGCGAGACCCCGACTCCGGCTCAAAATGACAAAACAAAAACAAAGGCACTAAATGGCTTCATGGAGACCCTGTACTTATGACCTCAGCAAATCCTAATTACCTCCCAAAGGCCCCACCTCCAAATACCAGTATATGAATTTGAAGATTAAATTTCCAATACAGACTTTAAAAATTATTTTATTAATGCATGTTTGCAATTCATGCAGTCATCTTGGGGAGTGGTTACATGTACACACCACAGCCTGTTTTATTTTACAGTCCCTTCTCCTTCCCTCCCCCTCCAATTCCCCTATTCCATTTTTCATTCTTGTTCATATTAACATTAGCTCAGGTTATGGCACATGTTTACATTAACTGGTTATTAGGTTACTGTACATGGCATAAACCCATCTCCTTGTCTCCTTTCATCCATCCTCTATTATTCTTTGTATTTTGCCTCAAATGTCCAGAACATGAACTTCTGCAGGACACATTTGAACCTTAGCAATATTTTATCTCTACTTCCTTCTTAGTGTTGTAACTTCGTATCCCCCAATAATAAATTAATTTTTCTACATAATCACATTATCAGTTTTTTGGCTAAAATTAGCACATGAACTTTTGCAGGACACATCTGAGCCACAGCAATGCTTTACTTCCAGTTCTTTTTTAAGTGTTGTAACTGATATCTGCAAGGATAAATTCTTTTTCTCAAGTCACATTATCAGTTTTATACCTAAAATTAACAATTTTATCTAACATTTTTGTGTAACATAGATTACAGTAAAATATCCTTAACTGTTTCCATATCATTTTTTAAAAGCTAACAATCTTTTATTAAAACACGTGGAAACCTTAATCTGATGTTACCTACATTTAAACTAACAAGATCCAACACAGTAAGCCATATCTTTAACTCCAGCCCCAAGTTCAAACAGAAGCCGCTAAAAAAAAGCTATCTTCACATGCCACAGCATAAAAATTAGAATACCAAAATCTATACAGGTAAGATTTTGCTCATATCTTGTGCTTTATAATTAACTTTAGTCTCAGAACAAAACTTTTCTAATACTTTAATCTGTACTAGGTATCACAATTTTTTGGTTTTTTTTTGCCTTGCTTTAAGGTAGATTCTCACTCTAAAGTCCAAGCTTCAATCCTCTCACCTCAGGCTCAGGAACCCCAGAATCACGGGCTTGTACCACTGCACATGGCAGTAATATTCTTTTTCTGCTGTTGTTGGCACTGGGAATCAAACTCACAACCTCATGCTTGCCAGGCAGGCTCTGTGCCGCTGAGCTTTTCCCCCAAGCCTTCTTATATGTATCAAAACTCATACCAAACAATGAGCTCTGGGTTGCAAAAGAGGATTTATTTTTTGCACCTTCTATTAAGTCTTAAGTCTACAAGTTAATCCATATCATTTTAGTCTTTCAATCCAGAAATCAATACACGTTCACATATTGCAATTATTTTCCTTTCCCCTCCCCCTTTGATTTTAACCAGGCTGTAATAACCCTTTTATCAATACAAAGGTTAACTCTCATATTCTAAGTAAGCAGTAGCAAATTTTGGGGTGGAGAGGGAAAGAGAATGGACTTCTTGAAGAGAATATTTTAAGTTTAGAAAGTACAGAGGTAAGCAGGGAGATTAACACTGTCATCCTGAACTACACAATTTTATTCCCACATGAAATGCAGCATCATTATTTTATTGTATTTCCCATAGTAGCTCTCTTCCATTTAAAAATTAGAGACCATCTTTTTTTTTTTTTTTTTTTCTGTCAGTACTATACTGTAGATTTAACCTAGGGACTTTTTCACTGAGCTATATCTCCAGTCCTTAGTTAAATGTTTATAAAGCATTCACAATTGCAACTACATGCATGACTTCTGAAAATAACATTTTTAAGCAAATCTTTTTGTCCTGTAAAAATAGCCTACATACATATGATCAAAACAACCTTTTCTTGGGAAATTTGCTACGCGCAGTTAAAAAAAAAAACACCACCTCAATTATATCATTTACACTGTTAAAATAAGTGAGTGCCACCTAGTGTTTAAATTCTACAACTAACCTTAAAATTCAAAACTGGTATTAAAATCCAGGTTCTAAAAACTACATTGGGGAAATGCTTCCCCGAGCCATACGTTTATAATAGTAAAATAAAAACATGAAAGCAATGTAATGATATCAAAATTACTATAAAAATAGTCACATGCTATTAATATATGGAAAGCAAATTTCTTTTTTAAAAATTCAAATGCAGATTTAGGCTTCCTTTAAGTCGTATCAAAATCTCGAGGCAACCTCTAGGTAACCAGAATAACACTGAAAGATTTTGTATAGTCAATAGGCTATAGTCAACAGCACACGGGAGACGGAGACAAGGAGGATCTTTGCAAGGCCAGTCCGAAACGCACAGCGAGATCTTGTCTCAAAAAAACCCCAAAAAACCAAAAACAAAAAAAAAGCGACTCAAAAGTTAGGAGTTAATCACAATCCATAGCAAATGGTTTATTCAAAACATCCATTTACTCACGGCAAATGGCAGGAAAGGCAGTCAAGCACTATTTTTTGAAATACACGTGGTCTTCTATCCATAAACTCCATTACATCAAAAGAACAAAATGGGCGTAACATTTCGCTTAAGATTATTCAGCATTAACAATTTTAACAGAAAAATATCTTAGAACCAAATCAAACTGCCTTAATAAATCACAGTCATGTTAATGAAAACTTCTTGGAGGGTTATGGCCAAAATCCAAACTGTAGGACAAACTTCCGAAAAATAGTAGTAAAGTGGTGGGTTCAATCTAGATATCGTCAATGTCTTCGTCGTCATCTCCAATGTCATCAAACTGAATTTCATCATCATCTCCAGGACCAAACGTATCAGTTTCATTGATCTTGGCATGCTCAGGAAGCTCGCCATACGCCTTCAGACTTCTTGCTTCATCCGCGTTGTACTTTAGAATCACATCAGCTTTGTTATCTTGATAGTCACGGAGACCAACCAATATGATGTCCGAGGTATTAATCCAAACCTTTTTTCTCAACTTCCCTCTGATGTGGCACAGCCTCTTCACACCATCGAAACACATCGCCTCTAATCGTCCATTTCCCAGCATCTTGATTACTTGAGCATATTCTTGCCCGTCCTCTTTGAACACCAGTTCTCTTTTTTCAGAGTCATTCTCGTTCTTTCCTCTGCGTCTATTTTTACCTCCTTTACCTTTATTCTTAGGCATGGCGGTTAAGACGGCAGCACGGCTTGTCTGTCTTCTTCCGGGTGGCTTCCGCGTGACGACTCTTCCTACGGGCGCTACGGGTGCCGCGCAGGGCCTCGGGGGGCGGGGCCAGCGCTGGAGGCGGAGCAGCGTGGGCGGGAGAGGCGGGAGGGGCCAGAGACCTTGCTCTGCTGAGATTTTCCTGCTTCCCCGCTCAGCGGCAGCAAATTGAAAGCACATGTTTAAAATTAACTTGAGTGTATCGTGCTAGCACAGAGTGAAAACTGAGAGCGTTTGGAAGTTTAGACAAAGCTATGGTCATCCCAGAGTGTTGTATTATTTTGTTTTGCTTTGCTTTTGAGATAGTGTTTTGAGGCTGGCCCTGAAGTCCCAGTATAACTGCGGGCTGGCCCTGAAGTCCCAGTATAAGTGCACACAACTATGCCCTGCTCACCCAAAGTTTTAATTATACCTAAGGTATAATTAAATACCAAATAACAAAATAATTGCGTTAATGTTTTTAACTTAAAGTATATAATTTCAAATGTATTGCTGTGCTGAGGTAGTGAACATTTAAATAATTTCCTGCTGTTTGGAAATGATATTGAGTAACAAATAATGTGGATATTTTTTCCAGTTCATACCATATTAAGATTCTAAAAGATACAGTTGTTTAATATATTTTATATTGATTAATTTATATTTGAAAATAGTGTATTTTTCTTTCTGAGTGACCAACTGGAAAGAAGGTGTGATGAATACAGCTTTCAGTCGTATTGTCATCAGGGAGCTTCTTCTAAAAATGGCTTTTAAAAAATGTTCAGTATCGGGGCTGGGGATTTAGCTCAGCGGCATAAACGCCTGCCTTGCAAGCAGGCAGTCGTGGGTTGGATCCCCGGTACCGATAAAAAGGAAAAAGACCAAAAAAAAAAAAAAAATGTTCAGAATCAGTGGACATTCAAAAGATGCACATATAAACAACACTGAGATTCTATCTCACCCTTATTATCAAGAAATCAACCAATAACAAATGCGGGAGGGGCTGTGTGGAAAAGAACTCTTCTCCGCTGTTGGTGGGAGTGTTGACTGGTGCAAACACTGTGGAAACCAGTGTGGAAATTCCTCAAAAAACTAGGAATAGGAATCCCATTCCCAAAAGAATTAAAGGCATCATACCACAGTGGTATATGTGCACCTATGTTTACAGCAGCACAATTTCTAATAGCTAGATCTTGGAAACCTAGATACTCATTAGCCAAGGAATAGATAAAAAAGATTTTTTTTTTTCTGTAATGGAGTACTACTCAGACATAAAGAAAGATAGACTGGAGACTTTTTTGGGTAAATGGATGCAACTTGAGATCATACTCATAAGTGAAATAAATCAGGCATACTTGTGTAAACATTGTACTGTCTCATTGGTGAGAAGCTGAAACGTGTGTGTGTGTGTGTGTGTGTGTGTGTGTGTGTGTATTTAAGATAGTTATACTACTGATTACTCTGAGTTCCCTGAAGAGAAAGATTTGTGCTGGTATTGTTTGGACAATTGAATGTAGATGTCTTGTGCTCTGGGTGACTGATTGAGGGATGACAGTGCACAATGTATGAACCATTCTTGCCCCCTGACTGATGTGTTTTTGTGGGTTTTTTTTTCTTTTTTGTTCTCTTTCAAATAAAATGGATTTGAAAAAAAAAAAGTGGCTTTGCCACTTAAAAAGCTTGCCAAATAAACATTACTGGATTCTGTGTTACTCCCTTCTTCTGGAGTTAAATTCTAGGTCTTGGTCTCAAACAAAGAATTGATCAAAACGAGAGAAAAAGAAAAACAATACAGTAATAAAGTTTAACCAAAAAACGAAAAGTAGAGAATGAGAAAAAAACTGGCTCAGCACAGTGAGCTTAGGCAAAGTTAAGGAGGAGAAAAGCAGGATGAAAGTGCCACCTGGAGAAAGCGAGGGGGGCTACTGTGAGGAAAGCCACAACAGCAAGCTCTGCTTGGCGTCTGTCTTCTTCTACGCTGTCCAAATCTTGAGGACACCTGTGGGTCCTGAGAGGCAGTGCTGGAATCCTATTAAAAGCCTGATGGGTTTCTCAGAAGCATGTTTGCAGGGCGTTGGGGATGGTTCTATACATGTGTTCCAGGATCTTGTAATTAACAAATCACACCTACTTCCCTAGCCAGTTTTGCCAAGCTCTAATCTCCTACATCAGTGTTATTGTCTTAATTTGTAAATACTGCAAATTCCTTCATCAAAAAAGAATTAACTATCACTAGTACCAGAAATCCTGCAAATCTCTAACTTCTCCTGTCTTTCACTTTTGCATGTGTACTTCCAACTATAATTTTTCTGTAGTTTCTACATTGTCTCTCAAAAACTAATGGCATGGAAGTTCTCTTAAAAGTTTGGCAAGTTTTTTTTGTTTGTTTTGTTTTTGGAGCTGGGGATCGAACTCACGACCTAGTGCTTGCCAGGCAGGCACTTACACTGCTGAGCTAAATCTCCAGCCCCTAGCAAGATTTTTAAAGAATGATATTTTGAGGGATGATTACAATATTCTTCAAACGTGCTTATTCTAGAGTGAGTGTTTTATCTAATGATTTGAGGAAAGAAAGAGCTGTTGCCAAGGAAAAGGAATGACTTCTTTGAGACTCATGGTATTTTTCAATGAAGTCTTTGATGTGGCTTATATTTTATCTATCTGTCTGTCTGTCTGCCTATCTATCATCCATCTATCGATCTATCTATCTCTCTATCTTAGTGATGGGTTCCAAATTGCTCAGTGAAACCACAGACAAATTATGCTTATTCACAACTTTAATAATCTTTGTTTTAGAAACAATTTTTGGTGTGGCACTTCCCAGTCTGTCATTCTGCCCTTAAAAGGGTTGAAATGCAGGCTTTGTAGACATGCACACTTCATTCTTCTTACTTCAGTTTCAATATCTATTTCCTGTTTATCAAAATTCCCTGTAATTCTGAAGTGATTTCCCCCTTTTTTGATGCAGTTCAGAAACTGCTAACTTGTACCATCAGAAAAACTTATAAAGTCATCAAGGAAAATAACAAACTCACTGATAGAAGAATTAAGGAAGAAACAACACCTTTCATAATAGCATCTTTAAAAAATGAAATACTTTCTGGGCATATTCCTGGAAGAATTGAAAACATCATATCACAGTGATATATGTGCACCCATGTTTATTTAGCGGTGATTATTTTTTGTCTTTTTCCTTTTTATCGGTACCGGGGATCAAACTCATGCCTGCTTGCAAGGCAGGTGCTTATGCTGCTGAGCTAAATCCCCAGCCCCTGCACCCATGTTTATAGCAGCACAATTTGTAATAGCAAGATCTTAGAAGCAACCTAAATGCCCATTAGCTGAGGAACGAATAAAACAGATGTGGTATTTTTATACAATGGGGTACTACTCAGCTATAAAGAATGATCACTTTGAGACTTTTATAGGTAAATGGATGCAACTTGCGACCATACTCATAAGTGAAATAAATCAGGCTCACATGTGTAAATACTGTATTGTTTCCCTAGTGTAAGAAATGGTAAGAGTATATAAGACACAAAATCCTCAATAAGTGCTATGTAAGGATAAGAATCTGCTCAAAGAGGGAAAAAATAATTCAGAAGAGGAGAAAAAAAGGAAGGGAAAAGAAAAAAATACTTTATTTATATAAATATACTTAAGATAGCTAAGGTGATTGTGCTACAAATTCTGTTAGTTTTTGGAACAAAACAGTTAACATTCATAGGATTGGATCAATTTTACATATTTGTGTCTGGTGATCTGAGGAACTCTTTTGAAGATTACTATGTAAAATGACAATCTTAGTTATGTTCCTACCACCTTGTTTTGAAGGCCTATCTTGTCATTGTTTTGGGCTCTTTGCTATTGTTATTTACTTGTCTTTTTTGTTTCTTATTTTTCTAGTAATTTGTTTTGTTTTTCCCTCTAATGAAGAAACGGTAGATGTACATGTAGAGGCTTATACATGCCTAGAACTTCTCTAAACAGTGTATGAGGCAATTATATTATGCATGATGAAATGAACAGCTATTTAAAGAAAAACAGATATTACGGTATACATTGCTGATTTCCTATCATCATGCTGTGAAATCCAGTAATACTTCTATTCTTTGTTTAGAGTGGTTTTAGTCTGTTTTGTATTATTTAATTTCAACATACATGAAGGTATGGACAGCTATTTTGAAGAGAACAAGAGACATTATGGTAGCCATTGTTGAAATTTTCTGGTTTTGAAGGCCTATAATGCTTTAATTATTCTGTTTTGGTCAAGTTTTATACTGTTTTGTTTTATACGAATTCATTGTGGGTGAAGATATAGACAACTATTTAGAAGAAAACAGGAGACATTATGTTAGCCACTGTTGATCTCCTGTTGTCTTTTTTTGAAATTCTGTATCACTTACATTGTTTTCTTCTGATCTGCTTTGTTCTGTTTTGTTTTATCCTCTTTAAAATAAAAAATTAAATACTTAGGAATCAATCTACAAAGGAAGTAAAAGATCTTTACATTGAAAACTACAAAAAAAATAATTAAAAAAACGGGCTGGGGATTTAGCTCAGCGGCATAAGCGCCTGACTTGGAAGCAGGCAGTCGTGAGTTCGATCCCCGATACTGATAAAAAGACAAAAAAAAAAAAAAAAAAAAAAAAAAAAAAAAAAACTACAATGTTCTGAGAAATGAGATGGAATAAGATATAAGAAAGTGGAAAGATATCCCTTGCTCTTGGGTCAGAAGAATCAACATAGTAAAAATAGACATACTCCCAAAATTGTTATAGGGATTTAATGCAATCCCAATCAAAATATCATTAATATTCTTTATAGAATTAGAGAAAATACTCCTAAAATTCATTTGGAACCAGAAGAGACGTAGAATAGCATAAACAATTCTGGACAACAAAGGCAAGCCGGAGGCATCACGATTGCAGAGATACTGTGACAAAAATGGCATGAAAAAAAGACAGTCCTGGGGATGAATGGGACAAATTGTGGAAGTGCAGAAATAACTCTTAACACACTCAGCCACCTTATCTTTGACAAAGGGGCCAAACATGGTCACTGGAAGAAATACAGTCTCTTTAATAAATGGTGCTAGAAAAATTGCCTTTCCATAAGTGGAAGACTAAGACTAGACCCATGTTTCTCATCATGCACTAAACTAAAATTAAAGTGGGTCAAAGATCTAAGTATTAAAACAGAGACACTAAATCTGC